ACACACACACACACACACACACACACACACACACACACACACACACACACACACACACGTTTGTATCCAAAATGTCCCCTGCTCATACACACTTTTTGTCCCTGTTCTTTGTTTTGAGGAACTCTATTCATCTCCACTCATCTTTGTCTAGGAGCAATGGAGCTATGCCAGATTTGAATACAAGAAAGGGTGTGGTGAAAAGAGATAGAAGATGCCAAAACACAGCAGTGCCCCTCATCACCACTGGTTGGCAGGCAGAAATWTTTTCCCCCCTAACTGTGCCACAAGTTTTTAAAATTAGTCTAAACCTTTTGAGTTAACTCCTCCCAATGACTATCCGCAGGTTAACCTCAAATACATTTATTTAGAACAAGCAGTTTCTGAAAAGCACTGAATTGATTAAAGTCAGAAACCACWAGTTGATTCTAATTTACGCATCAGCACATTACCCAAATTAGACAAGTAAAAGGCAAATTGGTAACTACAAATCATAGTTTACAATAGGAGTCTGTGCACCTGGCTTTCAATGATGCACCATCTACAGGTGAAAAAAAAAAAAGGAACAACCGACTCTAGGAGACACCTGCTGGTTGTACCTGGTCATCGCTGATGAAGCCCTTGTGCATGATGTAGTAAAGGTGAACCAAGAAATCGCTGTTGGGAAGCACATCTTGGTGCCTGGTCATCATCTCGCAGATCAGCTTGTAAGCCTGCAGTTTGCCATCCTTGTACTCTGCTGGCAGCATGGTCGCCTGTGAAGGACAAAGAGATTTTTTTATTGTAATAAACTGTCTCAATAAACATTGCTTCATTTTAAAGGTGTAGCTGCACCATTTGCTGTGAGAGTTGCTTAATAAAAACCACTAAACTATGAGGTGAAGTAGTTGAGCGACACAAATATGTCTCCAAACTGGCAAAGACCTGGAAATTCCTTGATTWAAAAAAATTAAAAAATGTCTCTCCTTTTTAAAGCAGTGCAGGAAATACATTTGGTTTGGTTCATTAAAGGAATAAAAAAGCCTCTGGTACCAACCATGTTTTTGAGTATAGAATTGTTTAAAGGCACACCAAACCTTTGTTCTTTTAAAAAGTTGAGGGGGTACCTCAAGTATGTTTAACTGAATTACTATCAGATTTAACGAAAATACTTCTGTTTAACTTTTAAAATATGACATGCACCAAAGCACGTCTCAAAAGCCCTTAAATGTAATGAAGAGTGATTAAACTGCTTTCAGAACTGATGATCTGTTCTTAACCTGCAAACCATATACATTATATAAAAATAAATAAATAAAATAAATATAAGCATTTTATAAATGTCAGTTTTTGGCATGTTGCTTGCTGTGTTTATGTGAGCTTCATACCCTGAAGAGCCAGGAAGCAAGCATTCGAAGAGGAGGGATGAATAATGGCTGAGGAGGAGAGGACTGATTATCCACACTGATCCCAAGGTTGTCTCGGATCTGTAAGCACATATTTATTTGGGTCAAGAAACACAGCAGTCATGAAATCGGAGTAAAAAAAAAACACAATAAAGTACAGGATAAAAAACATTCTTACTAAAGTGTATTAAATTATCAAAAAACATCAACATTTTTAAAATTTAAAAAGAACGAAAATGCATTTTTTATTAGGCAATAAGATGTATTACAAAAGCACACCATTTTCATAGTCGTTATATATTTTTGGTATCGTAAACATGGGGTGTTTGACTCTTCTGTACCTTGGCCAGTTTGTGCCAGAGTTCATAGAGGTAAGAGAAAACCTTGGCGTGGATTTTAGGACATCGGATATTGTTGACATCTCCCAAGATTCCCAAAATTCTCCTCCATAGGACAAAAGCAGAATCAGGATGCCAGCCTGTCAAGGTCCCTCCAGCGATGATGCTGACATCATCRGCGAGGCACTCACTACTGTCTGCAGGACCAGAGACAGATTTGGTTTAAGTTAAGTAGAATGTGGGACTGTGAATATAAATGTACTTGCCATTATTATTAAAGCAGCYGCTAGTTTCAGTCAACAAATGCAGATTAACTTAATAAAGTATTCTGAATTTGAGACTAAATAGAGCACAGTTTAATAAATGGATTTAACTATCTAATTACTGCTTGAGCAATTGTTGACTACATCCTAAGACTGTTTGTGCTTCTTCTCCCAAAAGCTTTCAGGAATTAGGATTTTAAATCTTATGTTAAAAAAAGTGAAACAGTTTTTGGGGAAAAAGGCACAAACCACATGCATCATCCTAATGAAACATGATAGAAGAGTGCCACCTAGTGGGCAGAAGAATAAAATTAAAATAAAAGTGAAGGTTTGGTACTGTATGTATTTATTTATTTATTTATTTAGTTATTTAGTTATTTAGTTAGTTAGTAGAGGAACAAAAATATTTTGGGCTGGGTACTTGGACAGTAGTCCAAACTGAATGAAGTAGTTCCAGGAAACGAAAAGAGATTTAGTTCATGATTTCAACAGGATTAATCACAGAACAGAATACTATAAAGTAAGAAAAGAATCATGGTAAGGTTGACATAAAGAAAATGGAAAGTAAATGAGGCAGGTTTAAATGAGAAGATAACAGTTAGGCCATGGTACCCAAGTTGTGTGTCATATGTAAGACAGACTGATGCATGTTGTCATCCAGGGGGTACTCTGTGTGCACCAGCAGGGCTGGTGAAGCTGGGGGGTTCTGGGGGTAGTGATAGTGGTAATTGTGGTGGAGGTAGGGAGGTGCAGAGTGGGGAGGGAAGGCACACTCAGAACCTAAAAAAACAACAACAAGGGGGAAAAGGATAAAACTGGGTTTGAGGGAGGGAACACAGGGGAACGATCACAATGCAGAAACCACAAATGTTAACACACAAGAATGTGAAGGAAGGACAATATTTTGTTCATACATGACGATGACAYGAGGAAAATAAAAACTGAATGGTTTTAAAGTTGATAATGTGCCTTTTTTTTGTCAGATTAAAATATACTGAACTGTAATGAGTTATTTCCAAAAACTGAATAGCTCAGAAAATGGCAGAAACAGCACCACTTTACTTGGCTGTGACTAAATCATTCAATAAAAGGTGAGAACACAGGAAGTATCAGATATAACACTCCACAGACACATTTTCAAAAACTGTCGAACGTTTCAAACAATTTAAATTATATACAAGTTGGTTACAAATGATGTCTATTAATATACAGCAGGTTCTCCAACACATATTTTATTTCATCTCATGTGCTCTGTGCCAGGTCTCTGCATTACCAGTCAGCCCACACAGAATAAAACCAGACATAGTGACAATACAAAATATGTTTTCAGGTGCACACTTTCACATCTCATCTCCTCCCCCTACCTGCCAGAGCCTCGTTGTGGCTGAGCAGCAGATTGCCCTGGCTCTGGGGATCCGCTGTAACATCCATGTGAGCAGACTGTGTTGAATGTGTGTCAGCCTCCTCGTCAAACGCCTGCCAGGTAACTTCAGCTTCATTGAGGTAGCCATTGGATGTCTCACTACTCACACTTTCACCTAAGGAGGGCGAAACCCAATTTATAAGACACAGACAGGCAAGCACGGGTTTAAAAGTATCTGATCTGTAGGACTATTCAGCGTTTAGCTTAATTGATCAATTTAAAATGGTAAAATGGACAGTCTGAATGAGGATGAGTATAAAATCACAGCAAAAGTAATATCCCACTTTTATCTCTGAGTTTGTGTCTGAGGTTTGAGTGTCCTTCAGTGCTGCACTCAGTCTCAGCTGGACTGCTGCTTCGTCGAATGAGGATCTAGAAATGCACACACAAATATATAAAAAAYACCTTGCATATATAGTTTTATTTCCTTAATTTTACACAAAATAAAACAAGAGGAATCTTTTACCACTGGGGGTTCGTTGCTCTCCGTCCTGCCCTCAGAACCACAAGATGTAGGAGAGTACTCCCTCTTTTGATCTGCAAGGTGAAATGAGATGTTACACAGAAACCTTTGGTTTCATTTGATGATAAAAGGCTTTAAACTCAGCTTCAGGATTAGAAGAGCTCACCATCAAACTCCTTGACAAATGACTTTATATAAGGAGAAAAAACTAAAGCCAAGTTGTATCCTGACAGGATGCTGAAGGTGTGTTGGGAGGGTAAATGTGTGAAACATCCACTTTTGGTTTTCACTTATACCTGGTAAAGTGTCAGACAGCTGCTGGGTGATGTCTGAGGTGCTGCTGCTACGTGGCAGAGGGCTCTCCCTGCCTCCCAGCTCCTCTTCCCCCCCACATTCTGAAAGCTGGCCCTCCTCCAGATCTAACAAAAAGACAWGATTAGTTTGTGCTACAAGGCTGATTTAATATATAGTAATACTTAAAACTGAGACGTACTGAGATATGAGTTCTGTTATTTTTAGGGATTCGCAGACAGTCATGAATATGAAAACATGCAGTGGTAATACATACTGTTGACATACTAATATTATTTACATTGCATTTTTACAGCATGTTCAGTCCACAAAAGAAAGCCAAGTTTAAACCTAAAACTGTCACAAGAAATGCTGAAAATGGTGGTGGAAGATGAGTTTTAGATGCAGGGTGGAGGCAAAAGAAGAACACATACATGCAGCTCTCAAAATCAACTTTACCTGAGAGTCTATGAGAACAAGCAGAATTACCAGAAGAGATACCAGGCAAGAAAGAGCTCACAGTGTGGAGCAGCATAGGAACACTTTTAGTAGTGGGCAAAGCCTCGTAAAGATGGACACAGTTGCTGATGGACTGGCTTCGCTTGGCTTCCATCAGGAAAAGATGAAGGCAGAAAAGAGACAGCGAAAACAGCACAGAGGTAAATTGAAGAAGGCAGTCTTTATAGACGCGAGTGGAGCATAATTTGTTTTCAAAAATATTTATATAAGTACATATTTCATTTAAAAAGAGAGGGAAATGAAATATTTACATAACACCAAAATTGACAATAATGTAAAATTTAGAGTTTAATTCTAGTTGACAAAAAATAAATAAAACAGGAATAAAACAGCTTAGATTGACTTGTCTTAAAAGATAAAATAAAGACTGAATAACACAAAACTCAGAATAATGCTACTTAAATTGTAAACTCACAACAGTAAAATAATGTTTTTATGGCTGTACTGAGCTTAAAATGCAGCCTTAGACCAACATGTTTACACTAAATTATGATAACAAATAGATTAACTTCAGTAAAGAATGTTCAATAACAGTAATAAATGACAACAATAAAACAAAACTAAATTAACACTTCAATAAATCATATCAAGTAAAGGAGATTACAG